TTGCTGCTTGGTCCCCTTCCTACCACCTGATCCTTCCCACCACCTGATCCTTCCCCTTCCTATTGTCCTTAGGCCCCTCATTAAGGCACAGGATGCACCTGCAGACACAGCCACAAAAAGACAGGAAGGGTCTGAGGGAAGTCAATGAGGCCATCCCAGGAAAGCTGAGAAGCTTCAGCTGGTGGTCCCTCTTCCACACCAGCTGCAGACAAAGGCACCAGGCAGTGGGCTCTGCCAACACGGCACTGGACACCAGTTGCAAAAAAGTCAGGCTGCAGAGGTGGACACATCCATGTTCAAGCCCCACATCTGGCATGGATTTACTGTGTGTCCCTGAGCAGGCTTCTATCAATCTCTGAGCATCAATTTCCTTCTTGGTTAGAGCAAGAAGACGTTTCCCTATTAAAGATTAACTTACTGGAGTGAACATTAAAACAAAAATACCTGATACCTAAATATTTTTAAATGTTTATTTCTGTTCCTTCCTCCTACTTCAACCATAGCAAAACATCAAGGAAGAGAATGCCAAAGAAGGAACTTGTAGCCGTGGAAGCATGCTTTCTATTAGGTAATTGGAGATGTATTCCCACAACTGAGGAGTCATCAAACTACATTGTAAGCCTACAATAAATCATACTTAATAATTTATAGTCATATTAATAGAACATCTGGCATTTATTGAGCACTTACTGTGTGTCAGGCACATTACTTCTTCACAATTACTCTGTGCACTAGGTACTATCAAGGCTCAGTGCAGGTGTGCAGAGTACCCCTCTCAGAAGGGGGCTCTACCCTTGGGGTTTAGTGTTCTGTGGTAACCACACTGGAATTCATAACATGGTACAGTACCTTTGCGCTTTTGTTCTGTATGTGAAGTCTGACAGAACATGGAGCAGCATACACTGAGGATTGAGACCCTCCACTCACACATAGTCCTGCCTCTTGTCACCTCTCACCTCCCCTCCCTGACATGGGTTCTCAGCTGCCTGTCCCCTCCTCCCCTACCCAGGCCCTATGCCCTAGCCAATCCCCCCAATTCCATGGGGCCTGAATGCAAGCACAGGGAGAGGTAGGGAAGCTGTGTATGCCAAGTCATTGGACAGAGTCCTACACCCCTGCAGCAGTCTGCATACACCTTGCATCACCTGACCCAAGGGAATACAACAGTAAGTAGTGAACAATAAACAGCATGGGAAACTCATAATAGCTAAATCTTAGAAGCAGCCTATATGTCCATCAACAGATGAATGGATGAAGAAAATACACAATGGAGTGCTACTCTGCCACACAGAAAGAAAACAATCATTTGTAGGACAGTGGATGCACCTTGGGATCATAATCTTAAGTGAAATAAATCAGACACAAACTTAAACATCACATAGTTTCTCTTAAGTGAAAAACTCAAAATATAAATAAGTTAAAGACCAAAATAAAAGATAGATAATAGGAAACAAGGAGATAAATCTTTTTGCAAATGGAAAGGGGGCCAAGAGATTAAGGGGAGGGAAAGAGAATGAAAAAAATTAAGATGTGTTATGTACATGTACCAACTCCCCATGATGAATGTCATCATTGTGTACCGCAAAAGTACTGATAAAAATTTTTTTAAAAAAACAACATATGTTGCCAAAAGTTGCAGAAGAAAGGAAAGAAGCTTTTTTCCCACTTTTTAAACAAGAAGTCCTGCATTTTCATTTTCATTGGCCCCCATAAATTATATAGCCAGTCCTGGTACTATTATTACCACTCCTTCACAAAAGTGGACACTGAGGCTCAGTAATTGGCTCAAAATTGCACAGCTGCCAAGCAGCAGCATACAGATAGAAACTTAAATCCATGAAGATAGAGGACTCCAGGATCTTAAAGAGCTTCAGCCCAGGAATTAGGAGACTTCTGTCTAACTTTAGACCATGACCACGGGCAAACCGCCCACTCTGTGCCTCATTTTCCCCAAGTGAATGTACTCTATAGAGTCTTCCAAACTAGCACTGGCTCCAAGATTTGGCTTTCCCATTTATATAGACACAAAGGGATCACCTTTGCCCCCCACCTTCCCTAGAGCTACCAGGAACATTTAGCAGAAGACAGCCACCCACACTGCATGACAATTGACAGCATATATTTCATGCCATTCCCTCCTCCCAAACAACACTGAGCTGAAGGCTGGGCAGGGATGTTTTTATTCCCACTTTACAGACAGGAATATTAAAGTATGAGAATTGTAAAAGTGACCACTCTTGACTCACACTGCTTTTCAAGCAAGTTTTGAACAGGTTAACAGGGCCCCATGCCACTTTGGGCAGTCTGGCCATGGTAGGGCAGCACAGGCCTCTCAGGACAGGAGCCCCAGCTCTGAGGAGCCTGGTTGGATCCCATGCCTTGAGGCTCCCAGGTCCAAGGGAGGAGGCCAGAGAGCTATCCAAGAGCTCCTGAAAGAAAAGATATGCCATGTCAGCAGTGTTCAAAGGGTAACTCAGCATCTGGGGAATGCTTGCCCAACACAGGAGAGGTATAATCTCTAGAGCATAAATAAACAGGCAGACAGAGGAACAGACAGATGGACAGAGTGTCCCAGCAGAAGCACCAGGCTCTCCACTTCTGCCCAGACCACTAGCCAGTCCTGAAGGAGGTCACCACCTGCAGAGAGTGCAAGGTAGTCTGGGGTTCCTCAATCCCTGTTACTTTTGTAAGGATACAGCATCTACAACACAAAAGGGTCATTCACCCTAGTGAGCCATCTCTCTGCCTGAAAATTCTAGTGACCACAGGGTGAGTCTCTGAAATGGTTCCAGAAATCCAGAACCTTACCTGCCCATTCCCAACCCTTCAGGGAAGTACTAGCACCAAATTGTCCAATAAAACTTTCTTTGATGATGGAATTGTACATACAGCTACTGAGTACAGTGACCAGTAATACAGAGGGAACCAATTTAAATTTTTTATTTTCTCTTAAGTTAAACGTACGTTTAAATTGCCATATGTTGCTAGTGGCTACTGCATTTGGGCAGTAAGCTCTAAAAACAAAAAAGAACAATAAAAATGGAACATCAGCACCATGATTTGGGACTTCAAAAGCATTGGCACAACAGTCTTCTTATTGTCCTGTGAAATAAGTGTTTATACTCATTTTATCTCAGGGGAAAATGGAAGCCCAGAAAAGTTAAATGGCTCCCATACTGACAGAGCTGGTGTAAGATGCATGATTTAATCGCAGATCTCTTGATTCCAAAATTCCACCTACATCTCTATGCAGCTCTGCCCATTTGTGTAGTCATCACATATTTATTGGATCATTGTTGTTAGGTGCATACCTCTGTGCTACACAGTTAGAGACAAATCAGGTATAGGCCCAGGCTTTGGGTGAGAATCCCAAGACAAGGCAACGTAATTGCCACAATAAGAATGTGGATATAAAAATTATTTTACCTGACTTTCTTCCAGGCAAGTGAAAGCACTTTGCTTTAAACACCATTTATGTCTGATCACTCTTACATTTAAATTTCAAGCCCCAGTCTCCCAGAACTTCCAATGGCTATACCAAGAAGCCTAGTGGACATCTCTATTTGAAAATCAAACTGGCTTCTCATGCTTACCCCAAACCTTCCCCCTCCCAGCAAACGGCAATGCTCTTCTTCCAGCTGCTCAGCTCCAAGTTGTTCCATCGGAGAGTCATGCACGGCTCTTTTTTCCTTCATGTCTTTCATCTAAACCATTAGCAAATGTTACCTCTATCTCTGTCTTCAAGAAGCATCCAGAATGCTCACCATCCCTACTGCTTCCACCATTACCTGTCATCTCTACCTGGACTGGGGCAAACTGGTCTCCTGTGTCTCTGGCCCTCCTTGATTCTTTTTCTCTGCATAGAGTGATCTTTTGAAAAACTGAAAAGCCATAGTATGTCTCCTCTCAATTTACGGCCCCCAGTGGTTTCCCAACGTCTTTACATGAAGCCCTACAAGGTCTGTTTCTGGATGCCTCCTCTGACCTCTTTTCCTATGCTCTTCTTGCTTTTCAGGTCCAACCACACCAGGTCTGCCTGGTCACTCTTGCCTGCACCCATTGTGTAGCTCCCTCCCTGGGTTCCTCAGGACCCGTGACCAAAGGTCCACTTCTCAGAGGCGCTCCTCATTAACCTTATTAAGTTTCAGTTTTCCTCCTAACACTCACCACCTCCTGATATTAAATGTTTGTTGGTCATTGCTGTCCTCCCACTACAGCGTAAACTGCCAGAATAAATGGGCAGATGAAATACATGATGGCCAGTTGAATTTGAGTTTCGGATAAACAAGCCATTTTTCAGTAGAAGGATGTCCCAGATATTGCGTGGAATTTATTTATATTTTTTAAATTTCACTGTTTACCTGATATTCAACCTTTACTGGGTGTCCCGTATTTTCATTTGCTAAATCTGGCAACCCTGGGCTGGGGATTTAGCTCAGTGTTTCCGCCGCCTGCTGTGCAAGCGCAAGGACCCAAGTTCGATCCCCGGTACCAAAATCAATCAATCAATCAATCAATCTGGCAATCCTATACAGGAGGGCAAGGACAGTGGTAATTTTGTTTAGTGCTATATCCCCAGCATTAGAGCAGCTCCTGAAGCTTTGCCCTCAATAAACATCTGTTGAATGAATGAATGTGGTCAACTGGGTCCCTAATCTGAGCGCGCAACAGCCTGGGAGTGACAGGGGTGGGACCTCTAGGCTGGGTTAGTCCACTTCGCAACACAGGGCCTGGGCAGCCCAAGAACTTTCGGGGCAGGTCGAGCAGCTGGGTGCTTTTGGTTGACCTCGTTCCTCGGTAAACAAAACCCTGCCCTGGCTCAGGAGAGCAGCAAGTCTTCGGTAGCCCTCCTAGGGGCGAGGCCTCGCTAACTCCTGGGCCAAACACAGCCCCGGCCAGAGCCGGGCCCCTTTAACACCCCGCCTCCCGCCACCACTCGCGCCCTCTGGTGTGGCGTCATCCAGTGAGCGACCAATGGGGTCGCGCCTTACTGACAGGCGGCGCCGGCGGCAGCTACCAAAGGGGAAGTGAGCTGTGGCTAGAGCGATGGCCCGGGTCTGGAGTCTGCGGCCGCCGCCGCTACCAACGCGTCTGGAGCGGCCAGAGCCAGAGTAGGGTCCGGAGTCGCAGCTGTAGTGGAAGCTGCGCGTGTGAGTTGCCGAAGTCGCCCTTCCAGACACCTCAAACTCAGAGGGAACGCTTGTGGAGGGCAGAGTGGCAGTCGCCCCTCCGGCACCAGCCCCCCGCCTCCCCCAGGCCCAGACAGCAGGGCTGGGGTCTCCCAGCGCGGGACTGGCTCGTCTCGAGCCAATACCTTCGAGCCAAGCTCCTTCAAACTCAGGACAGAAGCCAAAGAACGGTGATTATCCCTAACCCCAGCTGGCTTCCTGACCCAGGTATTTTTTTCTGCGCCAGGAAGTGTCGGGGTTGTATCGGCTAGGCAACACACACACACCGCTGCCACCTCTCCTGCCAGGGACTGGAGAGTTCCTACTGTCTTACTTTGCATTACCCTCCCTTCTCCCATTCAAGAACAGGTCTCTTTTCTCTCTCTTGGAAATCCTGTCCCAGAGGTCCAAAGTACATATCCTGTGTGTCCCCTAGCTCCTGGAGCACTGTTAGAAATATTGCTGAACTTAACAAAGCTGCGAATCTTTAATTCTTCACTCAGCTTTTTTCTGCTTTTACCCCCCCCCCCCCCTTAAACTCTTAACTGACACTCCATGTCCAGGGCTTTATCCATTTCAATCACCAGCTCCTTGGCGATCTCTATGTGACTTCCCCCACTCATCTGAGTTCCAGTTTCTTCTGGGCTTTCTTCTCCAGCTCCCTGCGGTTCTGGTCAGTCCCACCCCCGGTGGGACTGACCAGGGGGGCTCTGGCCCAGGATTTCCCACCCTGGAAGGTGGCTCCAAGGCCGCAAGAGAATTGGGCGTCGGATACGAACCTGGCAACTCAGGAGTGGGTGCTCCACTAACCCCACACAAGAAGATGAAAAAGCGCAAAGAGCTTAATGCATTGATCGGTTTGGCTGGAGACAGCCGGAGAAAGAAGCCCAAAAAAGGCTCTGGTAGCCACCGCCTGCTTCGCACTGAGCCTCCTGACTCAGACTCTGAGTCCACCTCAGGGGAGGAAGAGGGATTTGATGGAATTGGAAATCGCTCTCGCTTTGTCAAGTAAGTGATACAGTAGTGATGGCTGGGATGAGTAAAAGCTGTCTCCTTGCTCTACTAACAGGAATTGATGAGAAGGAGAAAGGAGTCCTTAGGAAGAGAAAGGAGGCAGACCTTGGAAGGCAAACAAAGAGAAAAGTGTCAGAGAGACGAGTTCAGATTCTGAATGAAGGGTAAATTAGAGGTCAGTCTTTAGGTGTAAAAAGGACAGCTCCAGATCTAGGGTAGAGATATGAATTTAGGCAACGTACCAAGGGCCGGAACATCAGAACGAGGCTAAAAATAGAGACAAGAGAGACAGAGAAGCTTTTGGGACTGGGACTTTAAAAAAAAAGTAGGGACCTGAAGATTGCTAATTATTTTTTGTACTGTTTATAAATCTGAATCTTGGTTATAGGGTAATATGATGGGGGACATACTGTAGAAAGTATGAGCCTTGAGAGTAGCTAGGAGATGAGGGTAAAAAAACAACTTTTTTCCAAACCATTTTCAGAAGATGTTGGGAATCAGGGTTCGGGTTGGGAAAGAGCTAAAGGCAACCTCGAAGGTGTCCTTAGACCCTGTCAGCACACTAAAAAATATTCTACTGTGCGGAAGCAAGGACTAGGCAGAAGGGTGTGGTGCTAAAAGAGATTAGATCTTTGTTGTTTGTTTAGAATGTCTATGTCCTTTTTGTTAAAGAGTTTGGTTTCTAGTGAGCTTTGCCAGAGTAAGTACGTAATGCCAATTTTCTGTGTGGCATATGAAGGTTTGATGAAATGTTAATTCTGGAATACTTATCCACGTGGGTTAGTTTAGACTTTGAAGGCTGGATGAAGTTTAGTGTGAAATCTCACCTGTTTGTTTCCTTTCTGCTGAGTCAATAAACTAGAGCAGTCATGGAAACCTATGGCAAGCATGCCATAGCCAGCTGTTATTGAAAGCTCTAAAAGGTTTGCTACTGAATTAGAGGGTACAGGGTGTTCACTAAAACTTACAGATCCTCTTTATTTCATTGTATTTGCAGTTAAGACTCAAAAGTTTATGAAATTTCAATAAACTGAGAAAGCATTTATTTGAAAGAGGTAAATAGGTAAATTACAGTGCAGTGATGGAATTGCAGAGAACTGCTAGTTTTTACACTTTTCCAACTGAGCTTGTTTAAGAGCCCTCCCTCCTGAAATGATGATGATGGTAGTGATCTGCAGGCCCCAGAGGTGTTTCCCATGGCCCATAGGACCTCTTGGGAAGTTTCTTATGAAGTTTAAAACCTTTGTACCGAATACAACTTTTCATAGATCACATTATGTATTTAGTTAACCTTTTACTATTTAGATGTAAGTGCATTATCCTATTGCCCTAGTAAATCTACTGGTCATTCATTAGAGAAGACAACTGCAAAAAAAAAAAGAAAAAGAAAAGAAAAGATAACTGCATGGCAATACATGTATACTGCTTCTATAAAACTGTACCCATAGTCACTTTATACTGATGGTTGAGTTTGTTCTTTTCATAGGGGAGACTACTTACGATGCTGCAAGATCTGTTATCCCCTCTGTGCTTTTGTAATCCTCGCAGCCTGTGTTGTGGCCTGTGTTGGCTTGGTGTGGATGCAGATTGCACTCAAGGAGGATCTGGATGCCCTCAAGGAAAAATTTAGAACAAGTAAGTGGTCCCCTTTTCAAAGCTTAATTTTGGACTCTTTTTCCAGGTTCTAGCAAAAATTGGACTATGCTGAATTAAGAGTTTTACCTCATCTGATGGAGCAATTATACATTCTTTTCAGCATTTTATCCTCATTTTCAGCTATCAGCTTGAATAGTGTAACAATTATTTGTTTTTAAACCCATAAGCAAAGACAGTGCTCATGTACCACCAGGACAAGTAGTATGTAAGATACAGTCTTGCTATATAGTTCAGGCTGGCCTTGAACTTGTGGTGATCTTCCTGCCTCAGTCTCCCTAGTGCTAGAATTACAGGGGTGCACCACCACGCCTGGCTTAGCTTCTAAAATAACGACTGAGTACAAAAGAAAAGTGCTTCAGGAGCCTAGAGTTTTGGTTAACCTCCACCTATGACAGTGACAGCACTGGGCTGTTTTCTTACACCTCACTGGGCCAATCGCAAAAGAATATAGGACTGTCAAATGATTTCCACTTAAGAAACACCATGTAGGGCCGGGGATTTAGCTCAGTGGTTTCGCTGCCTGCTGTGCAAGCGCAAGGACCCGGGTTCGATCCCCGGTAAAAAAAAAAAAAAAAAAAAAAAAAAGAAACACCGTGTAGGACCATAGGAATGAGCACTAGTAATAGCAATAGTCAACATATGTGGAATGCCTATTGTATGCCAAGTCACAAATACATCATTTTATTCCCAAAATAGTTCCATGAAATGAGTATTATTTTGTAATCATTTTTTCTTTAAAAAAAAGTTGCCAGGTATGGTGGCACACACCTATAATCCCAGCCCTTGGCAGACTGAGGCAGGAGGATTGCTTCAAGTTCCAAGGCCAGCCTAGGCTACATAGTGAGACCCTGACGCAAAAAACGAGAAAAAAAAAAAAAGGCTTAGAAGGACTAAGTGACATGATCAGCGATTAAGTGTGCAAAGTTGAGACCTGTTTATAGATGCCCTCTTGCCCCCTTGCTCTCCAGGCCTATGTTTATACCAGCTACTGTAGTGCACCACTGTTCATAGTGGCTGTGTAAGCCTACACACATTTCTTCAAGTGATCACAGATTTCTTTGCTATCAGCTTGGGTCAGTAGTCTAAGAGAAGTCTAGTAGAAGTACTGGAAGACCTGGTTTTCTGCAAATTAGCATTCAAGCATAGTACAGAAATTAATAGATTTCTCAAGCTGGGTGTGATGGCACACACCTGTACACATGGGAGGTGAGGGAGGAGGATCATTTTGAGCTACATAACAAGAAAAAAAAATTTTTCTCCCTATCTTTAGCTATGCTTATTTGTGACATTCTCTGTTTCAAGGAGGAAAACTTCAAATGCCATTAATGAGTGTTATCATTTTAAAGTTTTAGAAAAACTTTGAACCTCTGAACTAAATCACATATTCATGAAGGGCTTGCAAGAACCATAATAGCACCTACCTTGAACACTGTACAACTGGCAGGAATATATGTCTTATGAGTGCATTTTAAGGTTTAAGGGATGATTCAAGTCACAAAGTATTATATATTCTAATTGTCATTTTTGTGTTTCTGAAAGATGTGTTTACATAGTAGCTTCAACCAAATTTAACCTAAGTACCATTTTTTAGTAATACTAAAATTCCTGTCTTAAGTCTAGGAGATCACAGCATCCTATCTTTCCTTTATCCCAGCTTCTCTCTGCTGCCTACAGTTTATTAAGTTCTGAACCTGAGCTAGGGACAACTAGTCCCTAGTATGTTAGTGGCATGTCTAGTGAAATTGCTTGGAAAAAACGTTTAAATACTCAGGTTTTCTTCTGAGTTTCTGATTCAGGGAATGGGAGTGGGTAACCCACAGTTTTCTGCCAGAATCATCTTGACCTGTATATTTTATCAGTCGAATCAAAGTACAGTACAGTACAAGAAAGAATGAGAATTGTAGCCTGTAGTTTTTTTCCTACTTAAATGTCTGTCCTTGCAGCATTACCAGGTGTTTCTAAGTCCAGTCTTTTCTTTGTATGTAAGTAATAATTATAACTTCGAAATGAGGTTCTCAAAAACAGTGTTTAACCATATGTAACCACTGAACTCATCTCTGTACCATCAACTCTCCATAATTAGTTGGGCTTCCTAGGCTTGTGCCACAGCTTGTTTTGATCACATATAGCAACTATATATTTGTACATTTCAAAATATTCCTCAGTTCTGCCCTCTAGGGATTCTTTTCTCTGACTGCTCTTTAGAGGATACCCAGGTAATTTGTACATTAGCTGAGCTTTTCAGGAAATTTGTTTGGAAAATGAAGGACAGGTACATCTAACAGTCAATAAATATTGACCACTCATTAATACCAATCCCTTGAAGTAGTATATTTAAGAGATGCCGAGAATTATATCAGGGCCAGCTTTCTACCACTGAGCAACATTCCTCTGGGACCTTCACTACATTTGTCAGCCAGCTGAGTAAAATAGACTTGAAATTGTCAGTCCATTTTTTTATTGGCTTTGACTTAATACAGTAGAAATTCCAGTACCTGCAATGTCTAAAAGCAGGATTTTCTGAGAAAAGGTAAAGGATGGGTCCTGGGGCGGGCTATAGGCCATACTGTTGTGGATTGTTTGCCCAAGAGATTTTGTGAAAACCAATTATCTTGACTAAATGGGGTCAATCTTGTTAAGTTTAAATAATCTTTCTTTGAATTATGCTTCTACTTTAAATATATTTCAGTAAGTTAATTTTTACCTCTTATTTCTCAAGGTGACAGTGGAATTCACTGACATAAATAAGACTACCTGCTTATCTGGCTTTAATTCCTTTTTGAAAAATTTAGAGCTCATTTTTATTTATTTCAAAAAGTTTTAAAGGGGATTGCCAAAATACTTGAAATAGAAAGCAAAGCAGATAGGCTTGACATTTTCTTTGTGATCAAGAAGTAACTCGATCCTTAAGTTAAAAATACTGGCTGACTTTGAATCTCTTAGCTCACTCTTCTTTTTCTAGAGTCAGGTACTTCAGAAGACCTCTATAGTTATTCTAAGGAAAATTCTATTCCCAGCCATCCCTCTCTGTCACTCAATTATGAAACATTAGAATAAAGGAAACAATTTTGGAAGCAAAACAAAGTATTATTATATCAAGCATATTCTTTTCTGACCATATAGGCAGAGTGGTGGTTTGATAATTTAGTACAGACCTTAAACATTGTCTTGTGCTAATAAGGGAATGGGGATGTGTCTGTGACATCAGGAATATACTAAAAAGAGACAGGCCCTAAGAACAGAAGCTTCCCCTGTTTGAATCCTGTCTTCTCATTCGTAGCCATAAAATTTGGACAAGTCACTTATTCCTTCTGAGCCTTCATTTTCTTATCCATAAAATGTAAAGATATATATTTACCATCAGAGGACATTGAACATTCCTCTATTATAACACCTGTCACAGTGTAGGGTAATCCTCACTTCCTCTCTAGACTGAGAGCTTCAAGGTCTTTTGTATACACTGGTGCCAAATGCAGGGTTGGACACATGGTAGGAGCTCAATGACAAATTGCTGAAAAAGTTTATTGCATACTATAAAAGCATTCGGTGGCACACATCTATAATCCCAACACTTGGGAGGCTAAGGCAGGAGGATTGCTGCAAGTTTGAAGCCAGCCTGACCTACATAGTGAGACCCTGTCTTTAAATACAAGAACTATAAAGACACTGAATAAATACAAAATATTGCTATTAGCATTGTATATGTTCTGTTTGAAGGGTATGTACAGAAATTTCTATTTCCTAATCCTAACAATTAGGAAATCTTTTGAGAATTAACTCGCTAAGTTTTAAATGAGCTGCTTTCCATGCTGAAAGAACATTCATTAGCAATCATAAGTTGTTTGTATTATACACTGCCTCTCATTTAATAAAAGTACCTGGACTTGGCTTGACTCTCCTAAAAAAGCCCAAATCAGATAACAATTATGATCCTCTCTTGGCTCATATATTACTCAGGTCCAGGATGTTTTCAGAGCTTGTCAGCTTTATATAGTTATTAGTTAATTATTATAACCCAGGTTCTTTGTGTGTTTGTCTTATTTCCTCTTTCACTTCTACCTCCTACTTAATGCATATAGACTTCAGGAAAGGGAGAGACTTCTTGGGATATGTGACAACTTGAGTATGGCACACACTCGTGGGATGGATTTTTCTTTACAATCCAGCTGAAAATGTGTAAGAAATTCGGTGACATGCCTAAGAGCTGCATTAGTTTAGAATGAGTGGTAAAATGTTCTCACTGTCTGAGATGGATATATTTCTGCAAACATGTGTAAATCACTTGCTATATTAAAAGCACTTGGGGAAGTCTATTTACAATGATTATCCTTTGGGAAGTATTTTTTTAAATGAACAAAAATATCTAACTTTAATTATTCTGAATTTTCATGTAGTGGACTCAAAAAAATCACCACCTTCAATTTTTGTGGGGTTTTTTGTGGGTTGTTATTGACTATGTTTGTTTATCTAGGTTTATTTGGTAAGTTTTCTTTGTTAGATTGAAGAAGCATATAAAGTGATGAGAAATGTAGTTGGGAGAAAAGCAAAGATTTATTCAGGTGATAAATATTTATTGAATGACTAAATTGGGCCAGATATATTCTCAATGCAGACCAAATAAAAATAAACAAAACCAAGTTTTAGAGCTTATATCTGTAGTAAATTACTTTATATTGGTCCTTTATGCCAGTTTTCGGTTTTGTAGGAAGCATATAATAACTAATCAGGTAGTCTGTGACTTTTTATAAAAAATGATGCAGGTTTTATTCTGGAGGACCAGCCATTATCAATATTTTATTTTCCATTAAAAGGAAAAATGATTTTTAAAGAAAAAAGAGAAGGCACTCTCTCAGGTCTCTGCCTTCAGGCTGGCAAATCTCTACACCGTTCAAGAAATATTGTTTCCCAAAGAAAAGTCCAAATATCACCCTGTATTTCACTAGCATGTCCCTTATCTTCTATTTCCTCTTGAACTTTGAGTTGATTTTTAAATTTAAGAAAACGTTTGCTTTCTGGGAAAGATTAAAAATCTTAGTCCTCATAATAGTATTTGAAAGGTTATAAGGTCTTTTGCAGTTGATCCATTTAAGATAGAAAAAATAGATTTTAGCACTTGGAAATGTAACTCATAATGTCACTTGACCATTAATGAAGTAAGTTTATAGATCTTCATTGAGAAGTTACTTGGGGCTAGGAATTTAGCTCAGTGGTTCCAGCATCTGCCTCGCAAAGCACAACGTCTTGAGTTTGATCCCTGGTACCAAAAAAAAAAAAGAAAAGTTACTTAATTAAGCTGATCAGTATTTATCACTTATTGTCACTCTAGTCAGCTGCATTTAGTGCTTTACAGACATTCTAATAATCATATTATACATGAGGAAACTGAATTCAAAGAATTTGAATAATTTAGTCAAAATCATAGTTATAAAATTGAAATTCATATCTAATTCTTTCATGTTCTTTGTTAAAATTTTTAGTAACCTAACTTAAAGGTTGCATTACCAATAGTGAGATACTCCAGTTAAAATAGTTCAGTGTTAATTAAGGATGCACATTTATATAAATAAAAGAACAATGTAGTTGATAAATATAAATTTAGTTATTATCATCCAAAATTAACTTTTCTTAATACATATGCTTTCTTACTATATGGGCATTTTTTATCTTGGGATCATGAGGGAACTTTGTGTGGTGTTTATGATTTTTCTTATGTTTGCTTTTAGTGGAATCTAATCAGAAAAGCTCATTCCAGGAAATCCCCAAACTTAATGAAGAACTTCTCAGCAAACAAAAGCAACTTGAGAAGATTGAATCGGGAGACCTGGGCTTAAACAAAGTCTGGATCAACATCACAGAAATGAATAAGCAGGTAGCAAACGTGGTTTTTTTAATTTTCTCTGTAAGCTATGAATATTTGGTTGGTTGGTTGGTTGGTTTTTTAGTTTGAATTTGTAGGTGCAGGGAATTCACTTTAGGACGTTTGACTTTTTAAATTGGGATTTTTGCATATTATGACCCCAACATGTTAAAATACATAATAGTTATACATTTACCAAATATTTACAATGTTAACCCTTTCTGCAAATGAACAGAGTTCTACCAAGTTAAAGCAATGTAGAGAGTTGAAAATTCTTTTTTGTTGTTGTTGTTGGTTTTTTTTAAAAATTCTTGAGTTAGATTTTCTTATGGAGCAGTATAGGTATCAAATAAGAGTATCATCTAGCCCCCAAGAAAAATGGATAAACCATTTTTATTAAACAATGAGAGTTTTATTTTGTTTAATAGTTTAAAAACTTATAGATGCAGTCTTAGGTTATAATGCTATAAACTATGCTAAAATCAATGTGTAAACCATCAGTAGCTAATAGTATTCATTCTAGAATAGCTTAGGAGCAGGTGGTAGAGTTAATTACCTTAACCAGGCAAGCAAGCCTAGAGTATAAACTTTTCTAGTCCCTCAGTTGGCCAGAGCTCAGTAGGTATTGCTTCCAAAAGAATGAATCTGCCAGAGAAGAGGGACTTTATACTAAGGATTTTGACAAAGCATCTCATATGTATAAGGAACCATAGTTGCCCTGTACTCATTTTTTTGTGTATTTAGGAAAGATATAGTCACTAAAAAGAATACTCAAGTACCAAATTAATAATACATATGCAAAGTGCTTAAGAATGGGCACATTGTTTTTGTTGGAACTAAGAAGGTATTATCTTCCTCATAGTAGCAAAGTTCAGAATGACCCAGTGAAAAAGACCACTGTGCTAGAAGAAAGTGCTTGCAAATATTTCTGGAGCTAGACCTTTCAACAGTGGTTTGGGAATGAGGCAGTTCAGTACTTAAGACCAAAGATCAATGCTCTGGGGAAGTGGCTTCCAACTTTTGCGTGGAACACACAGTAAAGAATATTTTTAAATTACCCAGTAAACATGTACATATCTATATGCTGTGGTTGAATGTTTCCCCCCGAAAGTTCATGTGTTGGAAATTTAATTCCCAGATTCATATGTTAACAATATTGGAGGTGGAGCCTTTGGAAGTTAATTAGAATTGAGCCATAAAGATGGGCCCCTTTCATAGCATTATGAGAAGAGGTAGAGAAAACCAGGCTGACTGCTGTGCTTCACTGTGATGCAGCAAAAGGGCCCTCACCAGATGCTGGTGCCATGTTCTCAGCCTCTTTAACCATGGGCTGTTCTTTATGAATCATCCAGGCTATAATATTCAGTTATAGCAACAGAAAATGGACTAAGACACTCCATGTACCTGAAATAAAAGTTTCTGAAAACAATGACTCACCCTTAATATGTATGATGCCTTATGATATTTCATTATCTTTTAGTTTATTTTGCTTTTAAAACAATGCATGAAGCTCACTCCTGTGATCCCAGAAGCATCTTTGGAGACTGAGATAGGAAGATCATGAGTTCAAGACCAGCTTTGGTACATCTCCAATTCAAGGCTAGCCTGGGCTACATAGCAAATTCAAGGCCAGCCTGGACTATGTGGTGAGGCTTTGTCTCAGAAAAAGAGAGAGAGAAGAAAAACTTATTCATGAAATAATTGATGGGTTATAACTCCTTGAGAATGCTGTTGGTATTTTGATTAGGATTGCATTAAATCTATATACAGTAAAACCTTGGTTTATGAGCATAATTCATTCTAGAAACATGCTCGTGATGCAAAACACTCATATATCAAAGCAAATTTCCCCATAAGAAATAAGAGAAACTCAGATAATTTGTTCTGCAACTCAAAAATATTCATATTTGGCTTGGAGATTTAGCTCAGTGGTTCTGGTGCCTGGCTTGCAAGCGCAAGGTCCCGAGTTCGATCCCCAGTACCAAAAAAAAAAAAAAAATTCATATTAAAATGATTACAATACTGTAATGTAATACAAAATAATAAAATCAAAATATAAAGAAAAAATAAATTAACCTGCATTTACCTTTGAAAATCTTCATGGCTGGTGTGAGGGAGACGAGTGAGGGGGTTATTATGTAGGATGACATTTACTGTCACTAGCAGAATCACTGCTATCTATTGGCTCAATGGAATCTTTTTCTTTTCATGCAGTTTTAACAGGAAACCTATCCAATGCCTCCTTTTGAGGATTTCACCGAAGTGTGACGTTGCATTGTTGTTAAACTGATCTATCACTCGTACTGCTACAGGCTTATTTGGTGGTGCTTTTCTAGAAAATTTGGCAGTTTCCCACATTTTACACATCTCTCTTAATCTCATTTGAAGTGAGGGATTTGTCTGTCTGCCTTTTTCTCCTCCTTCCCTTCAGAAACCTCCTCCTCTTCAGAGACCTCCTCCATAACCTCTTGCTGTTGGGAGAGGATCATCTACAATCCCTCGGGGAAGGATGGGACCATTGGCTCAGTTGTGATAATGTGATGTTCAGCCTCACAGCAAGACATCACTCCTTTATCAAGTTAAAATTTATTAGAAATGTTTGCTCATCTTGCAGAACACTGAACACTTGCAGAACAAGTTATAATCCAAAGTTTTACTGTATCAGTTTTGATAGTATGGCCATTTTGACAGTATTGATTCTGCCTCTCTAGGAACAGAGGATAACTTTCCATTTTCTAATATCCTCTTAGACTTCTTTTTCAGAGTTCTATAGTTTTCATAATAAAGGTCTTTCACTTCTTTCGTTCAATTAATTCCTAAATATTTAATTTTTCTTGAATCTATTGTGAATAGCTGCAGAAAGTACCTGGGTAGGCAGGTATATACAGAAGTTTACTTCAGTCTTAAGTCTTAATATATGAAACTGAAGACTGGACTAAAATGCTTTCCATTTTGGCTTCAGTATACCTTCAAAGATGCTGGGACTGACTGATGGAGCCAGCATGATGCAGAGGAATTTTCTGCTGGCATGGACTCAGAAGGCTAGGCAATAGTTAAGCAGAGTTTCATGTTGTTTGCAACGGGAGCTCTGTACTCTGAGTGGTTTTCTAAAATGAATGCTACAGATCTCTGATGGTCTATTCAAGTAAGAGGCATTTGAGCAAAAATAGGTATAAAAATAAAATTTAATATTTAACTATGTTTCTATATCTAAAGGTAACTGTCAATTAAGATGCTTTTAATGGCATTTTTTAAAGCAAGTCAAAATGGCTTACACAACAAAATACATCACTTAACAAGAACCATCCTTATCACAATGTGAGGTGAAGATAATGCAGTCTGAAAAAAGCCATCGGTTTAAAAAATTAAATCAGGGGCCAGGGATTTAGCTCAGTGGTTTCGCCACCTGCTGCGCAAGCACAAGGACCCAAGTTCGATCCCTGGTACCAAAAAAAAAAAAAAATTAAATGAAATATTTCCTTGAAAAAAATTCTTTAGTAGGGGCTGGGGACATAGCTCAGTGGCACCTGCACCTGCCTGGCAAGCACAAGGTCCTGAATTGATTCCTGGTGCTGAAAAAAAATTCTTTAGTAGTTGAAATTTTATTAACATTTTTGTTTTATTCATGAAACCTCTGATTTTATACTCATTCCCCCCTCTCTACCATTCTAGGGAGTCTCCTCCCATTCAACAAATATACACTAAACTACTTTTATGGACCTAAGCTGTGGATTCTTAGTCCATTCATGTTATTATAACAAACTACTTCAGACTAGATAACTTATAAACAACAGAAGTTTATTATTAATAAGCTCATATTTCTGGAGCTTAGGAATTCTGATTTCAAGGTACCAGCAGATTTGATGTCTGGCAAAGGTTCATATTATACTCTGCTTCATTCATAATGCCTTCTTGCTATGTCCCGAAACAGCAGAAGGGAAAACAAGCTTCCTGGGACCCCTTTTATGAGGATACCTAATCCCATCCATGAGGGTGGAGCCCTCCTGTATCACGCTCAAAGGCTCGCTCTCTCTTTCTCTTTCTCTCTCTCTCTCTCTCTCTCTCTCTCTCTCTCTCTCTCTCTCTCTCTTCTTTGTTTCAGTACCAGGAATTGAACTCAGGACTTTGTGCTTGCCAAGCAAGCACAGCGCCGCTGGCTACATCCTCAGTGCAAGGCTCTATCTCTTAATGCCACAACACTGGAGATGTTTCAACATGTGAATTTTAGAGGGGCACAAATATTCATACCATAGTAGATTTTAAATCAAAATGATATGTTGTGATTGCTTCTCACAAGGCTCTTACAGACAAATGGAGGAGATAGGAAAGTAAACTATTGTAAACAGCCTGATAAGCAATAAGAAAGAGGTCCAGATGAGTACTGTGAGGACATATTTATATATTCAAATAAGCTGGGCTCAGATGAGGTTTCCCAGAGGTGCTGAGCGGAGGCCTGAAGGACAGGTAGGAGTTGGCCAGGTGAATTCTGCAGAAAGAAAGTATGCTTCCATTAAAACATTAGTATAGCTGATCCCCATAATTTATAAATTCTGTATTTGCAGATTCACCTACTGCCTAAAATTTATTTGTAACCCCAAAATCTGTACTTGGGAGGCTTTTGTAGTCCTTCACTGACGTGCAAAAAATTTGACTCAGCTGATACATGTTTACAGCTGAGGTCAAACTAGGCGACAGGCTGCTTTTTTGTTTTAGGTCTCATGCTGTAGACAAGTCTTTTGTGCTGTACGAGTATTTAGTGCCACATTTTTTATATTTTTGTGCTTTGGGTTGGTTATTCTACTATTTAAATGTCTCGCAGCACAGTGCTAAAGTTCTACCTAGTGTTCCTAAATGGAAGGAAACTGAGATGTGCCATATAATGAAAATACATACGTTAAGTAGGCTTCCTTCAGGCATGATGTAGTTCAATATTAATGAGTCAGCACTGTGCATTCAATAAAATGTTTAAACGGAAAAACGCATAAGGACAAAGTTATGTAGTATATTGATCA